TTCCTGGACTACCAAAAAAGTTATCTCGAGATTCAACCAAATGTTTTGACTGGGTGATCCAAAGCCCGAGGAAGCATTTCCTGCGGTGATTCCCTGGCAGTGACCGGCCCGGTGCCCCACGCGCGCACCCTACAGCCCGCTGTCCTAAAAGTGTCGCCCCTGGGGCCGCAGAGGCAGGCGGGGTGGGGACGCAAAGTTCGTGTGCCATCCCGGAGGGCTGGCCTTAGGTTTGCTTTGGTTTTCTTCTGGAAGGGGAAATGGGCGTAGTTTTGTGAGATTTTCAAGATTCCCGGGTCACTTTACAAACTTCGACACTCTGGGTCGTTTTCAGCTGAGCTTCTCCTGGTTGCCAAGGGCCCTTTTCCTCTCCGAGGGGCAAAGGACCTCGAGTCAAGGAGTGCTACTTTCGACGAGCCTCCCTCTCCTCCGCCTTGACTGGCAAAGCACAGCCGCGGGCTCTGTAGGCGACTAGGCGACCTCGTTGCCCAGAGCTAGGCACCGGTCCAGCCCAACTCCCGAAGAAGCCCACAGCAGAGTCTCCTCTTCGCTCGCGGCAAAGAGGGTGCCCGAGCACTCTCCTGACTTAACCCGGTTCGGGGGCTCCCTGCTGCGGGCTCCTTTCCTTTCCCAGCCGCGTTTTTCTTGGAAGCAGCCCCCAGGAGCAGAAACCCTGGATTGCCTGCCACCGCCGCTTGCTCCCCTCTGGTCCCACCCGCCCCCGAACCCTACCCCCACAGCGAATGAACCGTGTCACCCTCCCCACGCCCCATTGCGCCGCGCCTTTTTTAAAACCGCTTCTGGGTTTTCTGGGCTGAGCAGGCGGGAAACTGAGGGTTGGCTGCTGCACCTCTCCCTAGCCCCTAGCCCACGCAGAAGTCCTCGCCAGACACAGGCTCGATTGCGAAAGAACCCGGTGGTGGGCGGACGTGGGAACGCTACCCCAGGACTGTGGAGAGTTTGGCAAAGTTTCGGGAACGCTAGTGCTTCCCCCACGGGAATTTTCTTCGCCTCGTAGCGAGCGCGAGGTGTCCGAGGTTTGGGCTCTAACCGCAGACTCTCCCTTTCTCCAGCCCCTTTCAGGACACCCTTTCTACAACCTTAAACTTTCTCCGTTGGTTAAAAAGTCAGCCGCAGTTAGCGACCCCAGCTGAGGCGCGTCAAGAGCTAGCTGCTGTGGGGTTAACTGAAAGCCCAGCGCCCAGAGGTCGCCTGAGGCCCTGTGGGTCGAGGCCAGGCGCGCTGTTTGCAGGAGGAATTCTAGGAGGACCATAACAGAGTGTGCAGCCTGCTGAAACAGGCGTTCCCCTTTCCAGATCATATTCCTCATAAAATCTAAAGCCAGATACATCGCTTGGGCATGCTCCCATTTCACCTCGAGAGGCGTGGATTTGCTTCCAAACTGTACTCCACATTGAGGTCTCTGATGCGGGTTCTAGGGGCAAACTCAGAGAATAGGGCATTCGATGGCACAAAGGGACAGAAGTTTGTGCATTTAAATCTTAATCTTAGCTCAGTCAAAGCATTGGTTGTAATTTTTTGTTATAAAACGGAGAGTGTGGAATTTAAAAAAAAAAGACACGGGCTTTTTTTTCCCCCGCGTGCTGTTTGTTCAAAGGGAACCGAGGAGGAAGACGAACTTCGTAACTACAGACGCCCGCTTTAGCAGCAACACCCTAGGGAACCCGTTCACGAAAATGTCATTTGCAAGAGAGTGAGAAAAGTAGCCATATACGAAACTAAAAGGCGAGTTTGGTGAACGCAGACCTTTTTTTTTTTATAATCTCTTGAGTCAAAACCAGCTCTCGCTGAGTAATTTTATTTTTAAGAAATAAGGGAAGGGTAAAAAGGAGAGCCAAAGAGTCTATTTCACGGGAAACTCGCCTCACCAATGTGGAGAGAAATGTGGGTAGAGTGGGCCTTCCTTTTTCACAGTTAGGACTGTCTGACATTTACCAATGTGGTTATGAGGGTAGAAATAAAAACCAACTCATCACTTGGAATGACAAAACATTAGCTGGAAATCAACTCTGCCTTCTCAAGGTTCGACCTAGAGAACGCCATTCCGCGGCTCTGAAAGGCAAGGCCATTTCTGGAGTCCTGTGGTCAAATAAATTATTGGTGAAGCCTCATCTGAACAATGCAGATACAAACACGACTCCTGTCTCCGGTTTTACAGAGCGAATGACCTCAGTGCGAAAGCGCCTCCCAGCAGCTGGAGGGGTGATGGCCGGCTGCTAAGTCCTTCATCAGGTGTGGGTGAGCCAACTGAGCCCTCGATAAAAAACGGTTTCCACTTTCGACTGACTTAGGCTCTTCCTAGCACTTGTTCGGACCTACAGATACTGCTATAACAAAGGTGTTAGAGTAAATAATAAAGGAAAGTAAGAAAGTAAGTTAAGGAGAGTTTGGAGTGGGGCTAGAGTGAAGCCAGTGTGAGCGGCTTGTAGGCGGGTCTGTCTGGGTTGGGGGGGGGGGGGGGGAAGAAGGGGAAGCAAGGACACGTTTTAGCTGACCAGATTGACACCAGCTGCCATTCCTGAGCACACCAGTTGTGTTTGGTTACCTTCACCTCGTGAAGATGCCTACCCTTAACTGCTAAAATCTGCAGTCTGTAAGGCCGCCCACCCGCCTCTTTCAAACCTGCGGAGGCCGTCTTTGTGGCTGCAGAGACTCCCAGGAGGGAAGAGGGATGCCCCTCGAGTTTCGTTAAGTCTTTTAAATTGTGTAGAACTTTGGTTGTTTGCGTGTGGGCGGAGGTGCTTATCCAATTTCAGCGGAGCAAGAATTCCGTGGGCCTTGAGTCCCAAGAGGCCTTTGTGCGACCTTGCGTAGCTCTGGCTCTCCTAGCCAAGACTCTGCTAAGGGATCTGCCACCGGAAGCCAAACTCGCTTCTGTGCCACCCTACTTTAGTTCTGCAGGGTCCCAAACAATCTTCAAACTTCAAGACCCAGACCACACTTTCCAAGCAAGATTGATATAGTATCCATGTCTGCTTTTCCGGAGGTGGGGGAAGCCTCGCAGCCCAGGACAGATCCTGGCAACTCCTGGGCTTCCTCCACGATCAGCTTACCCCCACCTCGGCCAATCTTCGTGACCCCACACTCTGGCCTACGTCTAACGCCCTGAGGGAAGTGGCTGCGACAGACGCGCTCCGAGTGCTTTCGTTTTACTTTCGTTCCCCCTTCTCCGCGGCTGGGAAGACCGCGAAAGAACAACGTGGGGGGGGGGTAGAAAGCGGGTGTCTTGACAAAATAGCCTAGACACTGAGATTTAACCAGGGGACAGGAGATGGAACCATGACCGTGCCTTGACAAACTCTTGATTCTTGCAGGGGTGGGAAGGATCAAGAGGCCCTGACTAGTTTAATAAAGGCAAAGAAACGTGATTTGTAGATATTGCTGCCGTCAAACTGTCAAAGAAACGAATTTGCTTTCTTAAGAGGTTTGTTTTCCAAATGCTGAAAGCAGATCGGGGTAGAAAGGCGGAAAGGTGAGCAGCTAGGGCCAGTGGATAAATTGCAAAGACAACGGAAGAAAAGAATGAGCTGCAGCGCTTGACTCTACAGACCGCCAGGCGTGGGCGACCAAAGCCTGGCAGGCCTGTAGCTCCAAGCTTGGGAAAGGAAGCGACCACTTTATATTGTCTCGCTTCCTTTTTTAAGCAAGCACACACGCCACAAGCTTGAAACTCAAGTTCTAATCCTTAAAATCTAAGGTCGTCTCCTTTAAAAAGGAAAAGAAAGCGGGCCTAAATCTGGAAAGGTTTCCCAACTCCAGGCAAACCTATTGCATCCCCCACTGACTCTTGGGAAAGCGCTGCCAGGTTTGGACTCGCCCCTCTACTCAACTTCGAAGCTCCGCTCAGGGTGGGGGGCCCCTGCTCACAAGGGCTGGGGGCCCGAACTTGGGGTAGGGGGAGGTCCTTCTAGATTGTTTACCACACTCCAGTTGCCGGGAAAGGTCCGGCACGTTTCCTGTCCTCATCCCAGCTCAGCCTGTTTTCCTGAACCAGTAATCTGATGGCTAACTTATTTTATTCTCATCTCGAAAAGTCCAACTGCATTCTAAGACAACCACTTCGGAAAAGGACCAGAAGCTACGGAAGTTAATTACGCTTAAACTACCCACTTGTGTTTGCCTTTATTGTGAGGCCTTCCTTTCGTGTGTTTACCGCCCTTCTTGTTTACACCGAGCTCAGCCTAGGCTTTAGGCCAGCAGGGAGCTCAGTTTCACTTCGGGGTTTGGAGGGGGCCTATCACGTCGTCGGGTGGGTGGGTGGGTGGAGGAATAAGGCAAGTTTTAATGCTTTGCCTCAATCACCCCTGTGACAGAACAGTAAGTCCTCAATAACTGTATTCCCCTTGTTAAGGATCGGGACTGCAAACTCCTCCGTTTTTAAGCAGCTAGGAAGGCAAGAAAAAAGCTAGCGCGAAGCTAGCTGCACCTGCGGAGGGCGAACGTCCTTCCCGCGCTTCCCGCGCCCCGCGCTTTGCCTGAGAGCGGTGGCCAGCCACCCCCGCACCCCTCACGCCTGTTGGCCACCAGTGCGGGCAGCGAGGCCTAGCACCCAACGCCTGCTGGTACAGCCGCACGAGGGGGCAGAGGGACTTGTCCAGGCCGTGGGCTCCCAGGCGAGGCCCAAACGCGCGCGCACTCTGCAAGCAGGGCGGTGGCGCTCCCAGAGATCGAAGGGGGTAGAGACGCAAGAGCGCGCAGTACGCTCGGGGCCACTCCGCACGAGGCGTGCGTGCGAGGATACCCGGTCGGGTGGCGAGAGTGCCGGTACCCAGGCCGTGCGCACCACCCGGGCTCGCGACCCCAGCCACGAGCTGGGAGCGCAGCTGGGCGGAGGCCGCTGCCACGGAACCGGGCGGGAGGCGCACAGCCCGGGGGAGCTGGTTTTCCCGAGAGGGCACGTGACGGGGTTGGCAGCGCCCGGGCCCAAGCTGGGGGGGGGGGGGGAGGGGGAAGTGGCGAGCAGGAGGCCGGGGGCGGACGGCTGGCGCGCTGTGTACTTAGGTCGTGTGCTGGGGCTTTTCTCTCCAGGGAGCCTGCCGAGGGGCGGGGGAGGGGCCACCGCTCCGCCTTCTTTTCGCAATGTTGACGCAATCTATAAATAGTGGAACAAAAGGACCAACTTCCTCGGAGCTTTGCTGAAACTGCACAAAAAATCGAGCTGGGGGGTTCCCTGGTCCCCGGCGTTGGGGCGGGGAGCGCTACGCCGAGGGAGGGGGCGGCGCAGACCCGACTAGGGGGACACCTGGTCGAGCGCAGCCACCTCTCCGCTCGAGCCCTGCGCTCCAGTGCCCCCGCTGGCTGGAGAGCTCGCCCGGACCGGGGGTCTTCCTCCGCCGCTGACAGGTCAGTGCGCGCCGCCCCTTTCAACACTGGCTGCTTTTTCTCCCTCCTCCAACCTCCACTTTTAGAAGGGAATCGTGCGCGCGGGGAGGGGGGGGGCGCAGAAAATAGAACGAGGCGCTGCAGGAACAGCCAAAATAATCTGTAACCCCAGCAGCGCGCACGGGGAGGGGGGTATGAGTGAGGGGCTCTAGCCGGCAATCTGTGCATGGCCCCCCAGGAGAGACGAAGCTCGGCTTTCAGGGCTGGGGGTGCAGGGCGGGCCGCAGGGTGAGGGGAGGGGGCTCCCAGGAGGCCGTGTGTGCCTCTGGCTCCCCTTTGGGCGCAGACCTGCAGGGTCCGCCTGGTCCTCGGAGGGAGGAACCAGTGAAGAGCTCTGTTGCCGCTGCCACCGCACCCCGGACTCTGGGGCCCACGCACCCTGCGAACCCGGAGTTTGGGGGCAGGGTGGGAGAGGGGGCACCCTGCGCTCTGGGGGCCGGACCTGAGCTAGGGAGACCGCTGCGTCGCCTTGGCGGGGGCGCGGAGTCAAGGGAGGGAGAGGGCGGAGCTGGCGCTGTTGACAGCCGTGCGGGCACTGGGAGGGTGAAAGTTGGGGAGAGGAGGCGGGAGAGGTGGGAGTCTGGCTGGGGGGCGGGGAGCGCGCGCGCGGGATTCGGAGGGGCGTGGATCACGTGATGGGCAGCCGCCCCCGCTACAGGCTGGCTGTAGGGGTGACGTCACCACCCTGCCTGCAGGGGGTGGCACTTCCGTTTTCTTTTACCCCAGGGCTGCTCCTCAGCTCCTGGCACCCTGAGAGGGTTGAGTAGTCGTCTGAGGTCATCAGGTGGTTTGGCAGCTATTGGGAAGCCAGCGCAGGGGTCTGAAGCTGAAGCCAGGCGACCTCTCGATTCGCCCCATTGTGCGTTCAGTGGGCGCGGACGGTGCCGGGTGCCAGCCCCCTGCGGCTCCCAGCTCCAACAGGGCGGGGAGGACTTTGTGCGGTCAAGGCTGAGTCTGGCCACCAGCTGGATCCTGAGTTCCGAAGAACTAGGGTCTCACTCGCCGGACTCGCCCTCCGGGCGCCAGGTGGTTAGGAACCCATTCTGTGGCTGGGCTCCATGGCCCGGCTTGGTGGGTGTGTGGTCAGAGTCCTCACCACTGGAGCGACTCAATTCCAGCAGCCCTTAAGAGCTATTTTTGAGGAAACTCTGGGTTCTGGTGACTCAGCTCCGTGAGCGCTATTTATAGGTAGGTGAGTTAAGAACAGGGAAATACGCTTCGCTAGGATCAGTCCGCCCTATTACAGAAAAGATCTCTGTCTGTTAAGAAGCAACAATTAAGTCTTCCGAAAGAAAACTTTGGTTCTTAGAATATGTGTTGTAGCCAGGTGGTGGTGGCGCAGGCATTTAATCCCAGTACTAGGAAGGCAAGAGGCAGGCGGATCTTTGTGAGTTCGATGCCAGCCTGGTGTACCTGGTGTATGTAGTGAGTTCCAGGACAGCCAAAGCTACACAACCTGTCTCAAAAAAAAAAAAAAAAAAAAAAAAGTAAGACACTGTTCAGGAGACAACTCAGAACAAGGTGAATGGAGAATTTTCCGGAGTAAATGGAGAATTTGGGAACTGTCATGACCATTAACTGACTTTTGGATGGAGGTTACTGAACCAGGAGTAAAGACTCAGTGGCTCTCCTAGACAGATGAAGCATAGAATACCCACGTTGGAGAGAATTAAATCAGGGGAAACTAAATGCTGACAATGACCCTACACAATATTCTGTAACAGGAAGGTATGCGTGACATTTATCTAGCGTCAAAAGGCTGCCCTGGTGGAATTATACCCTTCATGTTTATCACCAAATTTCTTCCAAGAAAGTGCAACAGAAGCGTGTATTATACCCTGCATTTCCTCACTAGTGTGTAAATATGCCACACAAGTCATTGCTTGTTTGGGTTTCATAATTTTAATACTTACATCCCACACTCTCCTCCAGCCTCAGCTTTAGAATCTCGGAGGCATATGCTAGAGTGTAAGGTTGCCAGCCAGAAGGCAAGAGTTGAGTGAGCTCTCTTAGCCTGCACAGCTTCCCATAAGTAGTGTGACCTGGGGTGTCTCTTGAAAGAAAGATGATTTTCTGTGTGGCCAAAGTTAGGTTAGCTAAGAATAAAAAGGAGCATCCTAAGAACAAAGCAGAGTGCACACTGGGGCCTGTAGTCAGCTAGATAGATGTGGGTATGGATGGTGGGCAAGGTCTTCATAATTGGTAAGAAGGAAGCTGGACAAATAGATGGTCAGGTTTTTCGTTATTCAGAGTAATCATGCTGAGGAATTTGTATTAGTGCCTGAGTCTGAATTTTTATTTTTAGCATTTCAGGGTGAACAGATATCCTCTTGACAGGGAAATGAAAAAGCGATGTTTTTTTTCCTCTCCTACAAATCAACAATAAAATTTAACACAGAATTTCCAAGGGTGACTCTGTGAATCAACTATTGTGATGTCTTGGCTCAAAACCTTTAGAAAGGGAAAACCTGAAGGTGTTTACTGGAAACGGTGGTCACATGCCTTGTCAGGATCCTAGAGACTTAAAAACTGGAATGTAAAAGGACTGGGGGCCACAAAAAAGGTGCTAGAGCCTCTGCCGTGTACCCAGAGACAGGAGGACTGGAAAGATGATTCCAAGAGAAGTCATTAGCTGTTTGATGGCAAGGTCTCTGGGTGGGAGAGGAGGCTCCGACCTCAGGGCAGGAGAAGCAGCACATCATTTAAACTATGGGAGACCTTTCCCAGGGGTGCTGGAGTCTAGCTCTCTGTGATCTCTGAAATGTAGGTGGTAGCTAAAGCCAGGAGAAGGCTAAGAAGACCAGGAGGCTGTCTAGTTAGCCAGGAACTCTGGGAATCCTCACGGTTAGGGCAAGTCTGGAGCTTTAAAGCAGCAGCTAAATTAAAGCGATGGTGTCCTTTGTTCCTGGCTATCATAACATCAATCCTGCTGTCTGAGAATAAAGAGAACTCTGTTGCTCCTTTCATAAGACCAAAAAAAGCCAAGCATGGTGTTTAGTCCCTGTAACAGCCTCCCTTTGAGAGGAGTTCAAGGCCAGAATGTACTAAAGAATATAGCTGTCTCAAAATCAAAATGGACAGAAAAGACTTAGACTATTTGTGGAAAAGAAATCCTAAGAGTTGCATGTACTCCTCCCATGTTTACAGTACATTCTGAGTTGTTTTTCTTTAAAATCGACCGTTACTTGGCAAATGGGCTTTAACTATGTCTAGGGAACTAAAAGTACCACCATTATGGGAATAATCAAGGTAAATCACATAATCTCTAGAACCTAGTATCTTTAACAATTCTCTTTAAGCTTTTATTATTTTTGTGTCTTTAGTGTTAGGTTAAATATGCTTCCTTTCTTTTAGAGATAGAAATAGTGGTTGGGCTATTTTAATAATTCATATTCTAAAGGAGATTCAAAATACTCTTATAGTTGCATAATTATATTTATGAGTCAAAAGCACTATAAGTTCGTAATATGTACATTTTTAAGTAAGTATATCCAGGGGCTGGAGAGATGGCTCAACTGTTAAGAGCATGTACGATTCTTCCAGAGCACTGGAGTTGGCTTCTCAGCACCTTTGCTGGGAAAACTCAGAATTGTCTATTACTCCAATTCCAAGGGCATTTGATACCTCTGGCCTCTGTGGAACTTACATGCACGTGCATGCGTGCATGCACACACACACACACACACACAATATAATTAAAGATAATAAAAGTAGATCTTTAAAGATCAAGTATATATATATAGTGGACAAATATATATTTATGAGCCCTTTGTGGATCACTTAATGATTTTTTTGAAGTCCTTTTGTTTTTAACGTCTCCTATAGCAGGGATGTCTTTAATGCACACGGCATTCACATTAACATACTTTGTTATCAGGCCCCAGACAGTTCAACTTCTCTGTGACTTCACACAGCTGCCATGGAGGCAGCCCAGGGGAACTTAAGTAAACACTTCCAGATGACATAATGCCGTCCTGAAGGAGGGACTTCAACAAAACTCTACCACACAGATTTGCACATGCTGTTTTTCCATAGGCCAGAATGCTTGCTATCCTGGTGTGATGGCCTATTCTTGGTTGCCAACTTGACTACATCTGGAATTAACTAAAACCCAAATGTCCGGGTACACCTGTGAGGGATTTTTTTTTCTTAATTAAATCATTTGAAGTGAGAGGATTTCTAATCCACTTCTAATCCAGATCTTTGAGTGGGAAAATCCACCTTTAATCTGAGCCACACCTTCTGCTGGCAGCCTCCAGAGGACATGGAAGAAGGAAGCTTTCTTGCTCTTTGCCAGCTTCCGCTCCCGCTCCCTAGCAAGTCGATTCCTTCACTGGCATTAGACCAGCAGAGACATCCAACCTCAATGGACTGAACAACTACTGGATTCATGGACCTCCCATTGGTAAACAACCATTGTTGGCCTAGCTGGACAATGGCCTGTAAGCCATTCTATATATACATATACATAGATTCGTACTGTAGGTTCTGTTCCTCTAGAGAACCCTGTCTAATCACAGATTTTGGTACCAGAAGTGGTTCTAGAGCAGCAGAAGTATAAGGATGAATTTTTTAAACATCTGGAATAGGCTTTGCGCTTTGCCAACACCTAAGTTACTGAAGCCTCTCGGGAGCTTGGAGAGTACTGAGAGCTCATGGTGTGAACTGTGACAAATGAATTTGATTATCCTGATCCGCCATGTGTGAGAAGCAATGGATTTGTTGAGTCTGCATATAAAACTTTTGACAATTTGTGGAAGAATAAGGAAAATGCTGATGCTGGTTGGCTGCTTCTACCACGTCTGGATAAACTGACAAAGGAAAAGAATGAACTCTGTGATGAAATTAACCAGCATCTAACTTTCATAAATTTGAAAAAGGACAGCAGTGAACTCAGCAATAAAACTAAGCACACTAGCTAGTAGCAGCAATATTCTAGCTACTGGTAATAAGAGCCAAGTATGGTCTTTTCATTAAATAAAATAACTCAAACTCCTTATGTTCTTTTCCTTTACCTTTCTGAGTTCAAAATACAATTTGGAGTGTTTGTGGTATGCACCTGTGTGTGCACCCATGTACAAGCATGTGGAGCTCAGAGAGAGTGTTGGGTGTCTTTTACTGCTTGCTACCTTGATTTGTGAGGCAGTTTCTCACTAAACATGAAGCTGGCCTTTTTGGCAAGAGTGCCTGGCCAGTGAGTTCCCAGGATCTGCTGTCTCTCTGTGTCAACATGAGTTTAGAGGGAGTGTGGTCACACCCAGTTTTAACATGGGTTCTGAAGATTCAGACTCAGGTCCTCTTGCTTGGATAGCAAATGCTCTCGCCTACTGAGCCACCTCCCCAGGTTCTACAGTTTATTTTTGAAAGGAATATTTCTAAAGTCAATTAAAATACATATTTCTTCATCATGTAAACAAGGTCTAATGTTGAGAATAAGCCTTGATATGTTTTTATTAATATGACCAAAAATTCATGGGTGGAGATTTGAAGAGAAACTGAAAGAAATTGCTGAGCATTTAGGAAAATATTCTGTGCCACAAATGACCTTAGTTGTTACGTACTGAAAGAGAAAAATGCTATATCTGCATGTTTCAAAATTAGAGTCACCTTCATGAAAAGTATGGTTACTAGATGTTTTATAATGTTTGGTTCTTTTCTATAATCTTAATTTCATTGGTGGTTTGGCTTTGAGCTATATTTAAAATTTTTGATGTTCTCAACAAACTTAGCTCCCATCCTGCTTTCTTTCTGCCCTTTACTGGCTACTTTTCCCCAGTATCTCACAGACACTGTATTTGCCATGTGTGCGTGTGTGTGTACGTGTACACATATATATGCACCTTTCTCATTTTTATGACACTTTTATTTGAAGGTGCATTTGTGCCTTGCATGTGTTTGTGTGTGCCGTGATGCACACATGGAGGTCAGAGGACAGCTTGCAGGAGTCAGGTCTTTTCCTTCCACCACGTGGGTCCTGGGGAACAGACTGAGATGTCAGACTTGGCAGCAAGCACCTTTATCCACTGAACCGTTGTGTTGACTATGTTTTTATTAACTCTTGGGTGATGGTTACTTAGATTAACAGTTTAGGGATGTGCTTGCTGTCTTTGCTGAAAACTAAGATTTTTGCTGGGTAGTGGTGGTGCGCACCTTTAATTCCAGCACTTGGGAGGCAGAGGCAGGCAGATCTCTGTGAGTTTGAAGCTACCCTGGTCTACAAAGCAAGTTCCAGGATAGGTTCCAAAGCTACAGAAAAACCCTGTCTGCCCTCCCCCCCCCCCCGCAAAAAAAAATCTGTAATTTTTTTTTCTCTTTCTGATGAATATTGCTTAGAGGAAGGGGAAGGTCAGCATGATGTCCTCCTCCTGTTAAGCAATTGTATGTTCTGCCCAGAGGTTTGAAAAGGTTTTCCTTCGTTCCTTATGATCTTCTGCTTATCCCACAGCTGGCTATGGGAGCCTAGAATTCCAGCTCTCAAAATGTACAGGCAGGAGGATCAGGAGATCAAGGTCAGCATCAGCCTGGACTACAGGAGACCTTATCCCACTCACACAACAAAAATGGCTTAACCAACATGGAAGATTATATACCCGTTTTCTCTGAACACTTTCTGCAGATCCAGTTCTCACTAGTTTTGTGAAATTCTATTACATCTTGAAGTACATTTTTATTTCATTTATTATGTTCTAGATGAGTGAAATTGTAATGTGTCACTTTGTTTCACTTGTATGGTGTCCTCTTTGCAGTTACTTTGATCTGTTTCCTTCTTCATTTGTTGCAATTCCTGCAGTTCCTTAACTTTACCTGTTTCCTGGAACTTACTGAGCGCCTGCTCTCCATGCCAGACACCTTTGCCTCTATAAAGTTTATACTGCAGTGGTGAAACAGATGAGTGTGACAGGGAGTGGTGGTGAGGAGAACCCAGATCAAAAACTAGAAGGCAGGAGACACTTTGAGTGATTCTCAGCATGTGGGTTGTGACCCCCACAGGGGTCACATATCAGATATGTACATCACAATTCATAACAGTAGCAAAATTACAGTTATAAAGTAGCAACAAAATAATTTTAAGGTTAGGGATCACCATAACATGAGGAACTGTATTAAAGGGTTACAGCATTAGGAAGGCTGAGAACCACTGCTTTAGACAGAATTGTTAGAAGCTATAAATCTGAATTTGAGAAGAGAACTGAATACAGAGAGCTAGTGAACTAGGCAAAGACCCAGGCAACTTAGATACTGAGCATAGCTTCTGCAAAGGCTCGGGAGGGGGGGAGCACTATGTTCAAGACAGAGGAAGAACAGGCCAAGTGTCTTGCTCAATAGTAGAGAGCTTGCTTAGCATGGGTATAAAGTCCTGGGTCCAGTCTCATAATGACATTAATATTTTTTTTAAAGTCAAATGAACTATAAGGGAAAAGATGGGAGATGAGATTAGGGAAATCGGTTTAATCACAAAAATTGTAGGCCATAGAAACGTTTGAGTTTTGTTCTAAATGCGAGAAACATGTTGATGGGTGCTGCTAAATATTTCAAGAGCCGCCACAGAGTTGAAAGATTGTACCTTGCCAGGGAATATTGGCATACGCCTTTAATCCCAGCATCCAGGCAGAGGCACTTGAATCTATGAGTCAGAGGTCAATCTGGTCTATATAGTGAGTTCCAGGCCAGCCATGGCCACACAGTGTGAGACCCTATTTCAGGGCAAGGGAATGGAGGAAGTAGAAGGATTTGGTCAAAAGGTATAGTAACCTCTGTTAGCAGCTACTGCTCTGGCTACTGGGGAAAGGGGGAGGGAAGATAACTGGGAGAGCTGGGAGGGGGAAGTGCTTGCTACTTGCTGCCCCTGTGCTTAAGAGGTAGCTGGGGTGGTGCTTTGGGGACTGGAAATGAAGCAGTGCTTTTAGGTTCTTTCTCTTGTCTGACTTTCCCCCTCCTCATTATTCATCATTGATGGGACATAGAAAGAGTTCAGTTGGGAAAGTAGGAGGAGATTTTTCAGAGCAGCCGCCATAGCAGCACAGAAGCAGGCTCTACGAGGTCTGTCCGCTGAGAGGGGACAGTGAACTGGCACAAGGAGGATGATGCTGATTTCAAGTTTGGTTTTAAACATAATCACTTGATTAAAATTGGGAAACTTACATCTGACAAGACACAGAGAAAAAATGAATTATAGAAGAGACAAGATGTGTTTTAAATGTCTAGCTCAGAAGTCTTTATTAGACGTTCAAATAGAGTTGTTGGCCAAACCCATGAAGTAGAATCCAGAACTTAAGAGAAGGACCAGGGACTGAACACTAATTCTAAAACTTCTAAAACATAGATATAACAAAACAGAAACATGGCATGTGGGTGAGATGACCTTGGGGTGGGGGTCAATCTCCCACAGACAGGAAGCAAAGATCTGGATGACACACCTGGCCAGGGGTGAGGAGGAGCAGTCCCTAAACATCTGCGAAGAGGAAAATTATCTAGAAAAGAGTTTGTAATGGTTACTTCTCTATTGCTGTGCTAAAACACCATGATCAAGGCAACTTATAAAACTATTTAATTAGACTTATAGTTCCAGAGGGTCCCAGGAACACCTATGGTACATGAACATATAAGCAGACAAAATACCTAGATCTTTAAAAAAAATTCTATTTTTACTGAAAATTAGCACTTAAGAGACTACTCTTTGGCCAGCCAGAGGGCTCCTGGGTAAAAGCTTCACCATGCAAGCATGACGGACGCCCTGAGTTCGGTCTCTGGAACCAAGGTAGAAGGAGAGCACCAACTCTCAAAACTTGTGCTCTGACTTCCACACCCGTGCATCAGCATGTGCCAGCGCATACTTTCCCGCAAACGCAGGGTTTCTAAATCTTGAAGTTGCTACTAGGCAGCTCTCAGTTTGGAATCTGAAGGAGCATTCAAGTTACAGATGACTTCCAGCACAGAACAGCTCCAGTAAGACTTGCAGTCATATACTACAGAATGCTAGAGAAGAAAGTGCACTGTGGGGCCACACCATCAGCTTGTTAGGAGCTGAGAAAAATACCTGTATAATTGAGAACTGTATGCTCCAATATACCTACCTAGCTATTTCAGTAGAGGAGGCTCTTAACATTCTTGTTACAGACAAAAAAAAAATAGTGATGGTTACATACTAAACAAATCCAAGAAAAAGACTTGATTGGGGACTTCATTTTTACTTTCTTAGATTTTCTTAAGATTTAAGTTCGTTTTATAATGACATTTTATTTTTTAAATTATTTTTTTAAGTGTATGTGTGAGTATATCTGGGTACCTGTGAAGGCCAGAAGACGGTGTCAGAGTCCCTGAAACCTGGAATACAGTGTGAGTGCTGGGAACAGCACCCCCAGTCCTCTGGAAGGGCAGCGAGTGTTTAACCACTGGGCCACCTCTCCAGCCTTTGTTTTAGGGTTTTTAGTAAATAGCATTTCACTGTTGTTACTATAAACACACAAACTGCCTTTACACTCCTTGGTCTTGTCCACAATAAAACCCATGAACAATGAGAGTCAGTGTGGCTAAGTGCATCACACCCCTCCTGGAAAGAATGTTTACACATACCCACAGCCTCTAAACTGGAAATACACTCACGTGTTATAATATAAATGGTACCCACCAAAATTGTGTGCTATAAGGACATTGCATATATTTTATATATTACATTTGTTTCTTTCTGAAGGAAACCAATAGTTCAACAAGGAGTTTTGAAGGCACTTCTTCACTTAGCCTTTTAAAATTGAATGCTCCAAGACTTCCTCAGGGTCTTCTGTTTTAGTATGTTGGAAGGAGAGTTCTGAAGTTTTTTTTTTTAATTTTTTTTTTAGACAGGTCTCATGTAGCCCAGACTGACCTAGAATTTGATATATAGTCAAAGATGACCTGGAACTCCCTGACTACCTAGAGGTGTCAAAGGCTTTGAGCATGCTAGGTAACCACTGTCCCAACTGAGCTGCACTCACAGCCCAGAAGGAAAATCTCTTAGGGGGGTGGGTCTCAAAATAACAGACCTCATTCCATGCACTCCACTGACTATAATTTAGTCAAATAATGACTATACCTAACAGGGAAAATAACATATGATGTTTCTCTATATGGCCAAAAGTGAGAACATGACTGTTGCTGTCTAGCTCAGAACTGTTATTTGCTTTGGTGTTCACCATTGCCACTACCAGTACACAAATTCTCAACTGGGAAGTGGCTACCAAAACCAAAAAATCCTCAAACTATCCTGCAACTGAGTTTTTAATAGTATTTCATGGCCAAACTTCTGAAATTATAAACAGGAAGTCTGCTATATAAATGTCAGTAAAACAAAGCATTCTGAAGCTGAGGTTTTATCTTCTTCATAGCTTCATGCTGATGTGTGCTTCTGTGTGCACTAGAAAGGACATACAATGACGGCAGCACTCTGACAGCCTGGCACACTGGGGAAGACCTGTGGAGCACCCTGCATGCTGGCACTCTGACAGTGGAGGGAGAGGCTGTGACTAGTAAAACTGCTGTTCCGGGGCCACCACTAGAACCCGCTTCAGTATTTGCTGCCTGACTCTAGTGTTGGAAGACGATGGGTGGAGAAGGGGCCAGAGAACAACTTACTCTCACTTTAGCTATTTGAAAATCTATTGTAGAAAACTTGAGTTACACTTTTATAGTCTTATTCTGACGCCTCAGCAACCCTCTGGCTGTGTTCTACCGCATTAATTCCTTCAGGAGGCAACAAGGGATAGTTTAAGTACTGCAGAGATCCAGGATAATTTTTCCTGTTTCTCTGTAAAGAATAAACTAGGGATTTTCCTAAAGCTAATTATTCATATTAACTATGTAACATGATTCCCATAAAAATGTCTACGAAAATGCCAAGACTTAAATGACTAGTGTACAGTTTTTATATTACTTTGTTTCTGAAACATTGTTACCAACATATAAATGATTTTACAACTTTATATGCTTTTCTTTAGGAAACTTTCTTGTTTTTAAGCTGAACATTGAGGGAGCAATTTATTAAAAATCATACATAATATGAATAAAATAACAAAAACTATAGAATTTTTGTATCTAAGTTCCCTTGAAAGACCACAGACATTGGAAAATGTCTTAGAAGACAAAAAGGAAGCCTGATTTTGTCTATTGATAGTGTCTACTTTTTTTAAGAGAAGATCTCACATAGCCCAGACTGGCCTCGAACTCATAACGTAGGCAAGGCTGGATGTGAACCGGTCTGCTTGCTATACCACCTGAGTGCTAAGATTACAGGCAGCAGCACCATCAATGTCAGTGTCCACTCTTCTGCCGCACACACAATGCATATGATACTTTAAATACTGTTTTTTAATTTAACTATATAGAGTAGATAGGTATATAAGAAAAGTACATGCATGTAAAATGAAATAAAAGATATAAATAATTAGAATGTGTAATATGAAAATGAAGTAAAAGCTCTAAATAATTGCTAACAATGTATAATATGAAGTGAATGAAAACTGAAATTTACTAGGATAGGAAAAATATAGGAAAGAGGAAAAGGGCTTTTTTGTTAGATAAGGTGTCATTATATAGATCCATGGCTACCTCAAACTCATAATCTTCTCACTTTAGTCTTTCATGAGCAAACCACCACACCCAATTCAAGCAAATCTTATATAAGTAATACAGTATGTATATGTGTGTTTCTAATTTTAAAGCAGTGATGGACCTGGATTACCAGAGAAAAAAGATAATCAGATTTATTTATTTTTCAAGACAGGGTTTCTCTATAGCTTTGGGGCCTGTCCTGGAACTAGCTTTTATAGACCAGCTGGTCTCGAACTCACAGCGATCTGTCTGCCTCTGCCTCCCGAGTGCTGGAATTAAAGGTGTGCGCCACCACTACCCGGCGAGACTCAGATTTACTGACTGCTTGCTTACTATATGTTCAACACACTAGACATAGCTGGGGAGGAAGAAAGTAGTTATATCCCAAGCATTCTGATAGGCATGAATACTAGAAAGAAGTTAGGCACAGTAGTTCACATCCATAATCCCAACACTCAGAAGACTAACAGAGGAAGAATAAGAGTTTGAGGCTAGCCTGGGCTGTAGAAAGAGTTGGAGGCCAGCTGGCAATTCTGCTTTCTTTCCTGGTGTAGTCACTGAAGGAAAAAGACATCATCATACTTACTCACTTTTTCCAGTGAAGCAGGTTTTCCTTATGCGCCCAGCTACACTTCCCTCGGGTGTCTGATTAAAGCATTTTCTGCCTATACTGGTTGAAGGAGAAAGAGGTATAGTAAGGTAAGGCTCAAGGGTTGATACCAAGAGGCAAGAGGCTGTTAGGAAGAGGTAACTAAAAGGAGAAACAAGTTTAGCAATGGCTTATCTTTATCCATGGGAGGGAAATAAAATAATAAAATCAACAAAGATTGTGACCTTGAAGGTGTAAAATTTTGTCATCAACAGTTGAAAAATTAGAAGAGATATCCTGATGTGGAGTGAGGAAGAGGAGAGAGGAGAGAGAACCAGTGATGGTAAGCTATCAGACCTTTTGATAAACATATGAAAGTTACTGTAATAGAAAAACTAGAATTCCAGGAACTGAAGAGGGGATCGAATGAACATCAAATGGTTCATTATGAACTTAGTAAGATTATCAGTTTCAGACTAATTGCATGCATACCACATGGTTCCCCAATCACAGTGTTCTAAAACAAGCAAACTAAAATCTATAGTCATAGCCAAGCAATGATCCCCTAGGAGGGGGTGGGAGGGGAAAGGTTATGAAGAGATTGAGAACGCTAGATAGGTCCACACCTTTAATCCTAGCACTTGGGTTGCAGAGGCAGGCGGATCTCTGTGAGTTCAAGGCCAGCCTGATCTACAAAGTGAGTTCCAGGGCAGCCAAAGCTACACTGAGAAACCCTGTCTCTAAAATAAACCAAAAACCAAAGGGGGGTTAAAAAAAAAAAAAAGAAAGGCAGAAGGCCTTTATTTGGCTCATGGTTTCAAAAGCTTCAGTCGGTGGTAACTTGACCCTGTCCCTTTGGGTCTATAGTAACACAGTGTACCAGGACAGAAGTGTACAAGTTCCATCCATCTCAGGAAGCAAAGAATGAGGGAAAAAAAATTCCATTCCTGTGCATGCTTTCAATGATGTAACTTCCTCTAACTAGGTCCCAGCTCTTAGTGGCTCTACCATCTCCCAGCTGTCCTGCAGGCTGGAGATCATACCTGAATCACATGGGCCTTTGTGGATGCTATATGAGTTCAGAGTACATTACTGGTAGCCTGAGAGGCGGTGTCTTAAAGGTCCTAGGATTTTTTTCTAATCAGATTTTTTTTACTATGATGAATTTAATGTTTTTATGGTGTGTGTGTGTGTGTGCGCGCGCGTGCGCAATGCATGTTAGGGTATATGCATGTAGGGCAGAGGACAACTTGTGGGGATCAGTTCTCTCCTACCACATGGACCTTAGGGATTGAACTCGGGTCATCAAGCTTAGCAACAAATTCCTTTACCCAGTGAGCCATCTCACCAACCCTGAATTTGTTAAACAAGCCATGTATTCGTAGGCTAAACATCAGCCAGTAAGAATACTACCCTTGTAGAGACTGCTGAATTTGATTTCATAATATTTTCTTTGGAATTATCACATTTATATTCGTGAAAGAAACCAGCCTGGAATTCTCCTTTGTAATGTCCTTAAGTGGTTTGGGTGTCAGGATAATGCTAGCCTCAAAGAATAAACTAGCAAGTAACCTCTCCTTGTCAGTTTTCTAGAAGTTTATGCATAACTGGTACATTTTAGCCTCAATGTTTGGAAAAAATCAATGAATGTCTTTGTGGGAATGTTTTTAACTAGAAATTCAATTTTCACAAAATTCTTCAGGTTATCTCTGTCTTCTTGAATGAATTTCTAAATAACTATTTCAAGGAATCTAATTTCACCTGAGTTCTATCTAGATCTACCTCCTAAAACTTTCTGTAATATCCCTTGTGATTTAAATTACCATAAAGTTACAACAGAACACTTTAATCCTTTTTGCTCTTTTGAGAAGGGGTCTCTGCAGCCAAGGCTGGCCTCCAGGGCCAGTGTGATTAACTTGAAACTTCTTATCCTCAACCTCCCAAGTGTTGGGACGATAGATACACCCCACCATATAGATATACCCCACCACTCATATTGTCAAGGCCTTTCTTCTTTTTTCTAATCATGCTTGACTAAAAGTTTATCAGTTCATTGATTAAAAGAAAATCAGTGTTTCATTGACACAATTAACTGACTCTCCTTTTTCTTTGGGTGCATGTTTAACTTCTCCGCTTTAATAAGGCAGGAGCCAAGTTCACTGTCTAACACAGGTATTTTATTTTTAAATGTCACACTTCACATTTTGCTTTAGTGAACTGCCATAAAATTTGATGTTTTTATTTTCATTCAGTTCAAAATGCAAAATGCCTCCTCCTTCCCCGAGACAAGGTTTCTCATAGCTTTCTCAGACATAGCTCTGGCTGTCCTGGAACTTACTCTGTAGATCAGGCTGGCCTTGAACTCTGCCTGCCTCTGCCTCCCAGGTGCTGAAATTAAAGGCATGTGCCACCACTGCTGGGCAAAAATGCCTTCCGATTTTACCCTGGGTTCTTTTTTAATCAGTAGGTTATCTAAAAGTTTTAGTTCAAAATACTGAGAGTTTCCATATAACTTTCTGTTACTAATTACTAATTTAATTCCATTGTGGTCAGAGAACATATTTCTCACTACTTAAATTACTTAAAATTTACCAAGATATGTTTTATGGCTTAGAATATAGGCTGGTAAATTTTTTCTATAAAGGTTCAATTGGTAAATATTTTAATTTTTATGGGACACATATAGACTCTGGCATATATTTTCTTTCTTTGTAAAAAAATTTTGAAAATATTAAGAACATTCTTTGTCCACATCCTATACAAAAACAGGCCGGAGTGGCTACTGTGCCAGAGTTGGTGACTTTGTGTGTTTCACATGCCGTTTTGGCAAGAATGTACATTCTGCTATTGTTAGTAGCTGCTCCAGGAAAGTAAAATTTGTAATCCGGTTAATGGTGTCAATTTAACTTGTTACATTTATACTTGCTCTAGCAATTTATTGAAGGAGATGTCAAAATTTGGCTGGGGACCTGGCACTACAGTGGTTCCATCAGTAAAGTACTTGCCCTATAAGGACAAAGAACTAAGTTGAGATCTCCAGAATTCACGCACAAAGGGCTCGAGAAATAGCTCAGTAGTTAAAAGCCCTTAATGCTCTTGCAGAGGACCTGGGTTCAGTTCCTAGACCCCCCACATCAGGTAGCTCATCACTACTAGGAACTCTAATTGTAGGGGCTCTAAGGCCTTCTGGCTTCTATGAGCACGTGTACCCACACGGTGTACCTAAACTTACCAAGGCACATAAACATGTTCACCATAAAAAAATAAAAATAGCTGGACATACTAGAGGTGGAATAGCTAGATTCCCTGAGGCTTACTGGCCCACCAAGATCCCCCAAGCTGGCAAGTTTCAGATTCAGTGAGAGACTCTGTAAATGAGGAAGTCACCTAACATATACCCCTAGCCTTCACACACACAAGCACACACCCACACAGCATGAACATCAACCACACCATTCATATTCATTCATATTCCCTCTCTCCTTCCCTCCCCCTCTCTCTTCCTCTCTCTGGGTCTCACTAGCTCCTAGAATTCACTATGGAGATTAAGTTGGCCTCAAACTCACAGAGATCTGCCTGTCCCTATATCTCGAGTGTTGGGATTTAAGGCATGTGCCATAGTGCCTGGCTGTTCTTTATTTGTATTTGAGACAAGATCTTGCTGTGTTGTCAGGCTGACCTCAAATTCCTTGGCTCAAGTAACTCTTCTTGATTCAGCCTCCCAAGTAACTAGGTCAATAGGTATGTGCCACTGTCTTTCCACTATTGTTATTTTCTTAAACATTTGTTGCTTTGTTTAAGTGCGGGGATGAGCACTCCACAGTGCACATGTGGAGGTCAGAGGACAGCCCTCAGAAGTGGTTGTGTCCTTCTACCATGTGGGTTCTGTGATGAAACTCAGACTGTCAGGCTTCTCAGTAAGTGCCTTTATCCTCTGAGCTGTCTTGTTGACCCCACTGTTAGTAGTTTTGTTTAAATAACTGATTGCCTTAAAGGAGAATTAAATACTAAGAACAACTCTTATATGCCTGTGTCTTAGTTAGGGTTTCTAGTGCTGTGCTCAAACACCATAACCATAAACAGCTTGTGGAGAAAAGGGGTTATTTGATTGTATAGCTTGTAAGTCAATCACCAAGGGAAGCCATGGCAAAAACTCAAGGCAGGAATTGGAGCAGAAGCCACGAAGGAGTGCTGCTTACTGGCTTGCTCCTCCTGGGTTATTCAGTTTGTTTTCTTATACTTCCATGACCACCTGTTCAGGGTGGCACCACCCATAATGGCCTGGGCGCTCCCACATCAACCAAGTAAATGCCCGATCAACTTGCCTACAAGCCAATCCTATGAAAGCATTTTCTTGATTAAGATTCTCTCTTCCCAGGTGTCAAGCTGAGACAAACACTAGCCAGCACAGCCTACCAAGGTAGTTAACCATTTCTGTCCCTTTGTGTATATCTGTATAGTCCCACGCAGTGTCCTTCTCCTTTGTGTTTATGTCTGTGAAGGCTAGAGGTCTTTCCTGACTGCACTCCACTTTATTTTTCTGTCACAGTGCCTCTCACTGACTCACTGGGCTGCTGGCCAGTGACCTCCAAGAACTGTGCCTGTCTATTTCCCTGCCCTAACCACACTTCAGTGCTTAGATTACAGGTATGAACTACCATAACTGGCTTTTATGTGTGTCCTAGAGATCTCAGACCCACAGGTACTTCACCAACTAGGCCATCTCCCCAGCCCCCATTTTCCTTATGTCTGAAGGACTTAAATATTTCTTTACTGTGGCCTACAATGAAGAGCTATTTTACATTGGACTTTTGTGGGGGGGGGTTCGAGACAGGATTTCTCTGTAGCTTTGGAGCCTATCCTGGAACTAACTCTTGTAGACCAGGCTGGCCTCGAACTCACAGAGATCCACCTGCCTCTTCCTCCCAAGTGCTGGGATTAAAGGTGTGTGCCACCACCGCCCAGCTACATTGGATATTTCTAAACATATCTTTATTTTGAAATATTCCTTTGGCTGAGAATTTTTTCCTAGCTTTTTTCAAGATTTTATCACTGGTTTTGAACAATATGGTTATATATGTTTTGAGTTAGTTTTCTTATTATTTTTGAGTATTTTTAATCTGTGTGGTAATAGTTTTCAGCAAATTCAAAGGTTTGGGCTAATAGTTTTCTCAAATTTCTCTTCTACAACTGTGTCTCATCTCCTTTCATTGCTCCAATTACATGTATATGAGATCCCTGGAAATTTATTTCACAGCTCATTGATAATCTTGTCATTAAAAATTAATGTATTTGCCAGGCAGTGTTGGTACACACTTTTAATCCCAGCACTTGGGAGGCAGAGGCAGGCAGATCTCAGTGAGTTCGGGGCCAGCCTGATCTACAAAGCAAGTTCCAGGATGGCCAGAACTGTTACACAGAGACACTCTGTCTCAAACAAACAAATTAATGTCTTTACCTTTCATTATTTTTTTTTGTTTGTAACATTTTACTTTTAATTGTTTGGGCGGGAGGGTGGGTTGTAAAGTCTGGGTGGGTGGGTGGACTGACCTCTGACCTCAGAAGAGGTGTCAGATCACCTGGAGCTGGAGGCCCTAGACAGCTGTGAACTGTCCCACATGTAGGCTGGGAACCAAACTCAGGTTCCCTGCAGGGGCAGTATTGGCTCTGAACTGCTGAGCTATCTCTCTAGTCCCCAACTCTTTCACTGTGGATAGTTTCTGTGACTAGGCCTTCAAGTTTACTAGTCTTGTGCCATGTCTAATTTGCCCTGAACCACATTTAGTTGAAGTTTTCCATCCCAAATATTACAGTTTTCATCCCTCAATTTTAAAAAAATATATGTTCTATATCTCTACTCTTCAAACACATGTCATTATTATAATACTATTTTATGCCCCCTTCTGGGCACACATGTTCATATAAGGCCATTTTCATTTGATTGGTTGTTCTCCTCATTATGGGTCACTTTCTCAGTTTCATTATATATCCAATAGTCTTTAATTAGATACTAGGCATGTTGCTAGACATTCTTCTATTTCTATAAACATTCCTAAGCTTTATTCTGGGATGCAGTTACATGACTTAGAAAAGTTTGATCCTTTGGTCTTAATTTTGTCAGAGTTCAGTCTACAGCTCACTGTGCAGGGAGTAATACAATGGCTGAATAAGTGCAGCAAGGTAATTTGTTAAGGTTAGGATTTAGATAAGCAAAAGGCTTGCTAACTGATCCTAGAACATATTTAATCCCATTTGTGATTTTAAAAATGAAGATAGACATCATTTCATTAAAAATTATGCTCTGAACCAACAAAAATAATTATACTCTGAAAAATCAAGTATGAGAAATTTAGGGCACTGAACATTCCTGAAGTTCTTTGTGAGTAAAGGTGACTTTGGATTTAGAACTGCCCTGAAGCAATGCATAAAATTGTGAATATAGTGTTAAAAAATATAGACATGGGGAACAAACTTGACCATACATTGCAACTCAATCCTACCAAACTAAAATATGCAAAAGCCAAGAGAATTATACAGCTGCACTGGATACTATCTTTTTCCTGTTGTCTCACAGTTTCCAGGTAGTTTAAAAATGAATCACCTAGAAGGTGGAAAGGGGAAGGGGTAGGTGATATAGTTGTATTTTAATTAAAAATGTATAAAAATAAAAAAGAAAGCATGGTGGCGCACACCTTTAATTCCAGCACTTAGGAGGCAGAAGCACACAGATTTCTGAGTTCGAAGCCATCCTGGCAGAGCAAGTTCCAGGACAACCAGGACAGCCAGAGCTACACAGAGAAACCTCTTTTCAAAGAAAAAAAAATAATTAATAAATATAAAAAAGAAAAAAAATCACCTGAGACAGTCACAAGTTAGGGAGACTATCTCGTAAGATCCTTGCTTGGTGTCCTATCTGCATGCGTGAGCTTATTAATATTAGAGTTCTATTGTTTTTAATTAAATATTAAGAATAATGCTATCCTAAACAGATTCCAGTACTAAAATTAAATTCTACCTACCTCTTCCATGTGCAAACACCAGACCATTGAATGGGCACAAGCCAACAGAATTATTTTTAAGCCTATAGCTGATGGCAAATTCTAATGTTCTGAACAAAATCTAGTCTCTAATAAGCTTGGGTCTACTCTTTCCCTCCCCTGAAATATTAGCTTCAGGGGATGTACATGTTGTATGAAGCTCTTTTGTTTTACTGAATCAAACATTTATCACAGAGGAGAATCTCTGTTTGGCCCACCAGCTGGAATTGAATCACCTCTACAGAATAAAACAGGGTGACTAGGCTTAACCCTTTACCTTTTTAGATTTCCCTTTTAGAAATAATAAAAACCGGGCAGGCAGTGATGGCGCACGCCTTTAATCCCAACGCTCGGGAGGCAGAGGCTGGCGGATCTCTGTGAGTTCCAGGACAGGTTCTAAAGCTACAGCAAAACCCTGTCTCAAAGTCAAAGCTTGAGAAAAAAAAAAAGAAGAAATAGATAATAAAAACCCTTGCGTATTGTAGAGGATTACTAGAACAGGAATCCTGGGAAACAGAAGACTGCTGAATGGTTCTGTGACCCTATTCTTTCTTCTACCAACAAAAGAGGGATTTTTATTCTAGCCTTCTCACATTCAATACCACATTTATACCTCTTATTTTTTTCTAAAATTATCCTGATCTGAGCTGAATGACTGATTTGCTAAGCTTTAGGGATGAGAAAATTTTCACGTTCTGCTCTGTTCCTTGGGAAACACCCTAAGTTTTGTCTGTGTGTCTTTCCTATGGTAGTATGCTCAGTGTAAGGTCTACCCTCTTAACAGGCTTTTAAGTATACCAAAATGTTCTTAATGTATTAATAATTGGAAGTCCTAAAAGTTACATTTCCCCAAAAAGGAGGAAAAAGAAAGGAAAACCAAAGGGGGAAAGGAAAGAGAAGGACTGAAGGAAGGGAAGGGAAGAGACTAGTTATGCATTGGATGGTGTGAGTAGTTTGAGGAGGGTACAAAGAGTCTCTTATACTTGGGAAGACCCTCAGTTTGGAGCTTGAATCCATATTTTACCTCAGTGTTGCCATAATTTGTCAGCATGGGCCACAGTCCCCTGAGGTTACACTTGGACGTAAAGAATAAAGTTATTACAGCCAGACAGTTTGCAAAGCAAGGCTGGGTGCTACAAGCCTGTAATCTCAGTGTTTAGGAAGCCGAGGCAGGGGGATGGTGATTTAGAGGCCAGCCTCAGCTACAGAGTGAGACCCCATCTCAAATGTCCTTATTCATAGACAGATGAAAAAAATCACTACTCCTTGGAATGTGTATTTTGCATAGCACGACTATTTTGTGCACTTGTAATGATGAAGTGTGCGATAATTCAAAGGGATGCTTCTGAATTCATTCTGATTTCTCAGTTTCTGTGGCACACTCATGTTCAAGGGAGATAAGCATCAATTAGTCTACTCCACAGCCTTCTATAAATAGCCTGGCTAAGCTGTAAAGGAAACTAAAAGGGACATGTTATACAACCACAAAATGGCCTAGAACCTTGCCTCTAAGAGTCCAGCTTGGACTACTGCAGGGGTGGGGAGTGGGACTGTTTCTGTGGACCCAGAGGATTAAAAGCCACTAGGGGAGAAAAAAACATGGGACTCTTCCTAAAACATCATGTTACACTCAGACTTTGGAAAACACGGCATAATCACTATACTTAAACCAATGGAATATTCATGCTAAATTTAGGACAAAACATAAAGCTAAAGAAAAGCTAGTTTGGGGCCAAATTTTTAAGGCACTTTTTCACTCTTCTAGTAACCATACTTTTGCTTAAAAAACAAAAATAAAAAAACAAACAAAACTATTTGAGGTGCAATAGCTTTAATGACTACACAGAACTTTGCTAGATGGAGATGGAGAGCAATGATGGTTATTAACATTATGAATATATTTAATACTTCTAAACTGTCTACTTAAAATGTGTTGGACTTATTTTTATGTTATAACTGTTACATACAGTCTTGTTTTCTGCCAGATTTATCTTGATTTTTTGTTTCTTTAAAATTAGGTGTACCATCTCTATTTTCCTGACTTCACAGGGACTTAAGAGTTAATAGTATGGGGTCATCAACTAACTAAACATCAACAGCAAAAATTTAAAGATTAAATTAACATAGGGTTCTTATGACCAAAAAATAATAAATAAAAACATGTTCCCCTAAGAGCTATAAACTCACCTGTTTGCATAAGTTTCTTCAGAGCTGTTTTTAATAGTCACCCTATTTTAAACAGTAGGGGTTCTGACACATTTTATCTTATTCCTACAGGTTTGTTCTAACAAACCTTACACAGTGAGGATAAAAATATAGCATTCAACTCAGCTGTCCTGAAGAACTGGTCACATGCTCTCAGCCGTGGATCCCAGGAACCATAATTCCAATTTCACTTCTGTGTATTAAAAATCAATTAAGAAAGTCAAGCTCACAGACTCTGATTTCCTGTCCTCCTCAACTCAGGACCAAATGCACCCCAAATCACTGAAATCTCTCTGTCAATCCGTACAATCTGAAGTCTGCTACTCAACATAAAGCTTTATTCCCCTAATTAATATTTTTACATTTATTTATTTTGTGTATATGTGTGCAGAGTGGGATAATGTATCTGGGGATTAAGCTCAGGCCATCTGTGTGGGCAGCTCAGGCCTTTATCCCCTTCACTTTTTTAGACATTATTTTTGCAAAAGTAGCAAGTAACTTTCTCCAAAGCAACAGGGCAGGGTAGGAGAGATGAAAGCAGAGATGTCAACAAGACTAACAGTGGGACTCATGAGCGAGAATACTCAAGGGCCTCAATTTTTTTTTTAATAAGCTGTCAAGGACAGGTTCATTTTTATTATTTCTGAGTCTCTTTTATCATCTAAATTTACTTCCCAAAATCTAGGAATTTTACTAGATGAGACATCTAGTATATCTAAACAAATATATAATTCTGGCTATCGCCTTATGAGAGGGATCTTGTCCTGTCAAATTAATCTAACCAGAAGAAAGCCTAGACTCTGAAGGGTTAAGTTATAAAACTACTAAGGAAGCATTAAAGAGCCTGTTAAGGCTCCTTAGCAAGTGGGGACTCTGTTGTCATCGGGACTGAAAGTAATAATGGTCACATTTAAAGAGCTGTTACAAGTGGGACAAATTTGTTCTTATAGCTTCGGGGTACTTGGAATAGGTGTGTTTTAACTCTAGGATTCTATGGTTCCAACCCTGAATAGGCTCAATTCCTTTTAATAAGTTTTCAGTGTTTGAAAGCACTATGTCTACTGCGTCACTCAAAGCCAGCACTTTCACATCCACTTTAGAAAGTAGGTCACTCAACCAAAGGGGCTGATCCCCCTTTTAGTTATCCTTACTGGTGGAGAGTAAAAAAGTTAATTAGCTCTCGACTCTCAACTATTAATTGAAAATGAATTGTACTACAGTCCATGGTGACTTGTGGTGAGGAACATGAAGACAAAATGATGTGTACAGGAAAAGATAAGTAAGAAACTCTTAGCCCTGCACACTGAGCAGAGTTGGGGACGCTATTCATGTGAATTCGCACTTGGAGAAACTGGAGCTATAAACAATGCAAGGTTCATGTCCCAAGGCAGAAATACACTTTCGGGCACATACATAAACACACCCCGCACACCATGTAGCGGAGTCTATCACCTTTAGGAGTCACGTTACAAAAGGTGTGCACATTGATCTTTCATGAAACAAATCCATTCAACTTGTACAATAAATCTACACCTAAACACTATGTTCGCATAATCTTGTCACTGATTAAAGCATATAGTTGTAAGTCTACAGAGACAGCTCACTTGGTGAAGTACTTGCCTTGAAGGCCTGAGGACACGAGCTCAACACCCAGAGCCCATATTTTAAAAAAAAAAAATTCAAGCATGGTAGTATGCACCTGTAATCCAACACTTGGGAAGTGGAGATAGGTACATCTCTGGGGCTAGTTTCAGACTCAGAAAACAAAGCAAGCAAACAAAATGGTGGATGGGGCCCAAAGAATGACACCCATTGTTGTCCTTGGGCCTCCACAGATAAATTCACAACTTGCATCTGCCCCCACCACAGGACAAAACATAGAGTCCCATTCCATATAAATATCCTCGAAGAAGGATTTCTTTCCAAGTATTAGCTATAGGGAACATAATATCTAACTTACTTGAACAAAGAAAATACCAACCTAAAGTAAATCTCAGATTTGAGTAGAATACATAGATGAATATAATCACAGGAAAAACTCTCCACATTCCTACCAACAAATTACTATGTGATCTCTAGGTATAGAATTTTGGTTGTAGACTAGATGCTATGATAGTTGTTCATCTGATACTTTATAGACCTTTAAAAAAGAAATTTTAAAATACCCTATGAATTTTTCTAAGTAAGTACAGCAAAATACTTAATACTAAGGGTATTTTTATTTATATTTTATTTATATTTTTAAATACTACCACAGCTATAAAACACATGGAAAATGGCAGTTTGCTGGCCAACAAGGTTGGCTTAGTGGTAAAGACACTTGTTGCCAAGGCTGAGAGATAACCTTGCTTTGACCCCAGGGATATAGGGAGAGAACCAACTATTCTACCTTGTCTTTTGACCATCCTACACATTTGGCACACATGAACACATGAACCCCCCCCTCCCCATGACACATATACACATAAATGTTTCTAAAAAGCAAAGAGAATAGTTGTTTACATGTTTCCTATTGCTACACAATTACATAATTATAAAGCTAGTGACTGAAAACAACAGAAATGTATTATCTTATAGTTTTGAGGGTCTGAAATCCAAAATGAGTCTTATTATCACAAAAAAGATGAAGGCAGAGCTGTGCTCCCTCTTGAGGCTCTAGGAAACCCCTTTTCAGCTGCTAGCTCTCAAGAGCTAGTCCTTGGCTCCAGGCCTCCTCCTATCTTCAAACCAGCAAAGCCTGGTTGAGCCTTTTTCTCATGTTACCACTGCCACCTCTCATGCTTCCTCTACTACACTTACTGGACCCCATAATGATGGGGGGGGGGGGAATCTACAGAGAGAATCTAGGATAATCAAGTTTTAGACCACATAGTAGTCTTAATTTCAGTCACTCCCGAATTCCCTCATGTTTGTTACGTTATGTATTCAAATTCCAGAGGTGAAGACACAGCCACCTTTGAACATTCTGCTGGGCTGTCATTCAGCTTACCATATGTACAATGAGCTTTTCCTCTGGCTTTCTTCAGAACCCCACGGCCAATCACGTGTCCCTGAGACTGCAGACTGTTCACATGCACACTATTCCAGAGTGTCTTCATCTTTCACAGTTTAATAACACCCAGTTTCTTCACAGCACTCTATGGCTTTCTAAACTATAACCAAAAAACCCTTGGTTTGAGTTGGAAATTTTTCTGTATCTTTCTGTTTTTATAAGTAGTTGTAGTCATCTGAGTTATACTTCATACTTTGATTTGTAAACATTTTTCAATGTTAACAGGCATCATTTTTGATGATGCTAATAAACCCAGTAGATTTTTCTCTCGGTTTACTAAAAGACAATAACAGACAAAGACCCCAACTTATTAGATATTTCATCTTCAACTCCCACCTCCACTTTTGCTAATATATTTAATGCTGAATAAACATATTCCTGTATGACTTGTTCCAGATCCTTTCCCTAGACAGGCTTTCCAGAATTTGAAATTTCACCAGGAAATGGTACCAGCAGCCACCCAGTTGTCCATAACCAAATCCCGAGGAATCACTCTTGTGAGCCTCCTTGTTGCTACTCTCCATAGCCCAAGACTCCTCACCCTCTGCAGATGGACACTGAATCACAGCGGTCTTCCCTGCTCAGGACACTAATACATTGTCTCCTTCGTTCCCAGCATGGTTTCTCTTCCCTTTTGGTCCAGCTAATTTCTGTTTCTCTGTAAGTCTCTGCCCCGTTTTAGGAAGAACTTACTAGCTCTCCACTGTTCAGCTAGAGCAGTAGCTGAGTAGGGTAAAGTGTTAGCTGCCAAGCCTAACAACTGAAGTTCAATTCCCAAAACCACATGGTAGAAACAGAACTGAGGTCCTCTGGCCTCCAAATGCACCCACTCTATGGCACTTTTACCCCTTCCCCCAAACCCCAAAATTGTTTTGATCCAGTGCTAGCTCTCCATAGTATGAGGTTTTCACAGCACCCTATACTTTCCTGTAACTGTTGAGAGTGTTAATTTGTTAGATCATTTATACCTGTTTTTTTTTTTATCTAAGACCATAAGAGGAAAAAGTGGTTATTTTGTTTGCCCTTAACATACTCAACAACTAATAAAAATAGAAAATACACACAGCACAGAGTAAGTGCTAAGCAGTTATCTAGGAATATTTACCTGTATACTGAACAAATAATTCCTCTTCTTGTATATCCCTCTTCACTCTCATTTCCTGTGCCCCCAAGTTCAAGTGCTCATTATTTCTCTCCTGGATACAGCGTCTCCAAAGAGGTCGCTGCCACATCTCTGTCCTCTAGTACCTTCACTGAGAAAATTCTTTGGGGGTTTTGAAGATTAATTTTTATTTTTAATAAATATATATTTGTGTGTCTGTGAATGTGAATGCATTGGTGAGCTGGAATTATAAGCAGTTGTGAGCTTCCAGACATGCCCACTGCTCAGGTCCTCTTTAGGAGCAGTATGTACCCTTAACCTCTCTAGCCCTTCATTAAGTAAATTTCTAAAATACTAACCTCATATTAACTGGTTTAAGATTTTCCAACTGCATCAGTATAAAAGTGGCACATAAGCCAGTCATGGTCTAACCCCTATCCAGTTGAGCAGGCCTTTCTCATTGCTCGCAAAGATTACAGCAGACTATCCAGCTATCTGAAATGCCAGTTTCTCCCCAGCTCTTCCACTTTCTAACACTTTAATGATTCTACATAAAATGCTTTCTGTGGCCCATTTCTCTTTTCCCTTCTACACCAACATAACTCAGGCCAGTCCCAATCTGGTAAGTTCCTTCCAAGGTGTCTTGAAACACACAGCATCCTTACCACCTCCTTTCAAAGTTTCCTGAGCCATCCATTCCCATGGATTACATGGTCTTCCTCTCTATTTTTCATGCTATAGTTGTTTGGAAATTTATCTTTTACTATATATTCAACTGTCTACTAAAAGAGATTACTGGTTTTTTCTTTTTAATCTCTGTCACCAATTTTAATTTGAATTCTGGTAAATGTTTCATTCTGTGTGAGAATATATATTAAAACCCACAGTGAGAAATCACATTTCTACTTCTACAATCTTCCAACCAATTGTTAAAACATTAAATTAAAAGGGCATATGTATGAAAATGTTCTTTTCAAAATCATAATAGAAAAAACTAGAAATAAGCTAAATGTTCAGGAATTGAAACTTCTAATAATATATTTCAGAGTAATTTAAGATGAAGATTGTGAAAATTATATAGTAACTCATTTTTAAGGTATGTAAAGTGAAAAAGGATTAAGAGACCTATGAGACAATGATTGAAAGGGAACATGGAAACTTTATCATCTGTTGATGTGGCTGTGACTTCATTTCTTTTATCCAGAATGTTATAAATGTCACTATAATAGTCTTTCTTTTATATTTAAGATCATTTGAAATTAAATTTATATCCTCCACATATTGCAAGAAATATGTATAAATATTTGTGGTCATCCACAAATATATACACACATATATATATGCTTATATTTCTCAGCTCTGTCTCCTACAAGTTCCAAGAAGCAGATAGTACAGTATCAATAAGCATACTGAACTTTAGTCCCCTAATACCATTTTCCAATAACATGGAAACAGGCCTTTTAAAAAGGAATTGAGTTCCTTAAAAAAAAAGGCTTATTCCAGGGCTAAAGCAAGGTAAGTATGAGATAAACAAGTTCTACTTCATAATACAAGCAAGTAAGGAAGTGCTTTTAAAAAATGAAGCAATGCTAACAGAAAGCCACAAGAGGAAGTGCTCCTACTAGCTTCACACAAGACAATTTGAATATTAGATAGTTAAATACACAGCTGAACATTTGAGGTGAAAGGCAATAATGTGTGTAACTTACCCTAAGTGATTCAGAAAAACAGTACACAAATGCACAAATAAAAATACTGGTCGAGTAGTTGGAGAGATGGCTCACAGTTCAGAACACTTCCTGTTACTTGCAGGGGACCTGGGTTTGGTTTCCAACACCCACAGGGTGGCTCATAACCTATTTACCTCCAGTTCCAGAGGATCTGATACTATCTTCTGACCTTTAAAGACACAAGACACACATGGTGTACATACAATACACACAGGCAAAACACATACATATAAAAAAATTAAATTAAAAAAATGTTGCACAGATCTTTAATCCCAGCACTAGGGAGGCAAAGGCAGATGGGCCTCTGATTTTGAAGCCATACATTGAGTTTCAGGACAACCAGCATTATACAGAGAAAATCTGTCTTGAAAAATCAAGTGTGTGTGTGTGTGTGTGTTGTAGAGGGAAGTCATAAATAAGAATAAGCAAATACAGTAATGGAAAGGCAGGAATTCAGACCTACTCCTGTAGATAATGAATAGGTAAGTAGGGAAACAGAAGGGCTTTGTTTACAGTAGAATGCTGTGGGCTGAAAATGTGGAAAGGCTAAAAGATTGTTCAGTCATTTTGCATCCACTGTATAAACTGTACCAGCAATTATGAATGTTGAATATGAAGGAAACTTCTGATGAGCAGGATACAATCTCAAATGGCTCCTCACAGATTGCTATTTCCAGAAAGGGAAAAACAACACAAAACAAGACACAGCTGCGCAGTTGAAAGTCTGGGCCACACATTGACAAGGTTATCAAAATTACAACCATCAGTGAGTAGATGGATATCATGTATGCTCTAGAAGCGGTACTCTGAGAAACATGCAACAGAATCTGTGCAGTTATCAGCTGACCATACATAATTCATACCCAATTGTGAGTGAACATAAAACACAGAATGAATATCCAAAAAAAAAAAGTATGTAGCTCCCTTCAAATACAGCTTGGAACGGGATTCTTAAAATACATCAAGGACTTAAAAGACAAAGGCTGGAAGTTTTCCAAAGCATGGGATGCTTAAAAAATATATACGTTCAAGTGTAAGTTAAGTTTGTCAAGCTGTCAGGAAATACACTCACAGGAATATAGAAGTGAAGAGTCAGGACCCATGATTGCTGAGAAAAGTTCAGGAAAAGGGAGGTTGGGCGGGGTTGAAAATACATCTATCTGGAAAGAAAGAGAGGCAGCAAATGACATGGATGATATTTTAACTTTTTGTAACTTCTTATAAATTTGAAATTATGATTTGATGATTTTTTTTCTTTTAGTTCATTTTAAGGAAATAACAGACATAAGGGGATCTTGAAAACGTTAAATAAGCTAGATGTAGTGGTGTGTTGGGGAGGCAGAAGCAGACAGCTGTCTGTGAGTTCAAGGCCAGCCTGGTCTACACAGTGAATTTCAGGACAGTCAGAACTACACAGTGAGAGGCTATCTGGGGTGGTTTTGTCAGGGTGGTGGGGATATGAAAATAAAGAAAACTGCAAATTGCTAAATAGTTTTTAAACAATTTGCTTGTGAGTTCTGTTTTCAAGTTACTGTTCAAAATGCTTCCTGATGTCTGATTCTTTTTGAGCAATGATGCTTCTACAGTCTTAACTAAATAAGTTAGCATGTGGAAACCAGTATCCCCTCAGATGAAGCTTACTCATTAGAAACAGTATGGAGGGTGGAGGCACTGAGATTTCAGGACATGTTTTCCAAAAGACCCACATTTATCATTCATTTGTTGGCAATTGCATTCCAATGTACAAAAGTAAAAGCCTCAGATTTTAAATACAACTTGTACTCTATCACAAGAGTACGCAGAGCTAAAACTAAGTGGGAGGAAGTGGGCAGGACACAGATGATGAAGCCTTTCTAGAAGACAGCTGGAATTTACGCCCTGGTACCCAGATACCAAATACTACCTAATAATGGGATCTTTAGTCTCGTAAGGTGTAGCAGGTTTGGGGTGTAAAGTCAAATTGAATATTCTTCCAAGGTTTTTACTTGAGTGTAATGATCTGATATTTAAAAAAAAAAAAAATCACGTTTTTTTCCCTTGGAAATTTAGCCCAGGAATTTGCACCCTCTTGTGGTGGAAAGATAATTGGCTTTCAGTTCAGGCTCAAGAACTGTGTGACTAGATTTTGCTTTCTCCCATTTTAGTGACTCAGTAAGGACTCATGGTTTGCTACATAAGATTTTAAACAAAACTGGACTTAAATATTTTAAAAGAGATCACCACGCAAATTTTATTCTGAGCAAAATGTAGATAACTGAACACTGTTCAGCCATGATCTGATTGCTAAAATCCACTTCTCTTCCAGTTAGGCCTCAATAATGCAAATAAATCATGGTCACTTTCTCCAATTCCCTTACTCTTTAGTACTTAAGGAAGTCTCCTATCAACACTCTTAAGAACAGGATACATCCCCCTTCCTCTCCCTACAGGGTTTCTCTAGGCTATTCTGGCTCTTGCTTTGTAGACCAGGGTGGCCTCGAACTCACAAAGATCCACCTGCCTCTGGTTCCCCAGCGCTGGAATTAAAGGCATGGGCCACCACCGCCTGGCTCAGGGTACATCTTTTTATATTCAAAATTTACACATCAGGCTGTGGTGGCACAAACCTAAAATCCCAGCACTCAAGAGACTGAATGAAGCAGGAGGATAGCAGCATGGGCTACAAAATTTGAGTTCTAGGCCAGCCTAAACTCCATTAAAAGATATATTTTTTAAAGTTATGATTCATCACAAGCTGCTTTATAATAAAAACTACAGCAAACATAACTAATATTCCTGGATTTTAAACAGTTGGGTTCTTTTTTAAGAAAAAAATATCATTTGCCAGGGCTGGAGAGATGGCTCAGCAGTTCAGAGCACTTGCTGGTTTTGCAGAGGCTTGGCTTCAGCACCCACACTGGATCACAGCCATCCCTAACTCCAGTTCCATGGAATCCCACACCCTCTCCTGACATTTGAGGGCACATATGGGATGCACACACATACATATGTGTAGGCAAAACTATTACAGAGAAAATAATTTTTAAAAATCCGTGAGAATTAAGGAAAACGTAACTAAACATAACCCTAAACTGTAGTCACTTAGGAGCAATGACAGTTTCTCTTTTTTAAAATTTCATCTTAATTAGCCTAGTGGCAGGGACGATGTCATACAAGCAAATACTCAAAAGATGCCTTTGTAAGCAAAGCGCTAAAATAGTAACTTTTATTTTGTGTCCGTTTTAACAGGCGGTTTGCCTAGCGCCTACCAGCTGTAACACGGCAGAATTTCTAATCTGAACATCAGGCAGCATCTGTAAAACAAAAATACTATGTGCTTCCTAGAGGTGTTGTGGGCAGTGAAAAAGTCTACTCCACAAAGCCCTGCATTATCAGTGCCCCGCGACTGTTACTTTCACAGGGCTTCATACTATGTTTGTGACTCCATAATTTACTACACCATTAAAAACTTTTTTTTTCTTTGTAAAGCACTCTAGTGCCGTCCAAAAGATTGTACATCCCCGGTCTCCAAACCAGAACCGAAAGCTCGGGTGAAAAGGCTTGCGGACGGAGGGCGGGTAGCGCGCCTCCGGGTCCGGAGGGAGGGAGGGAGGGAGGCGGCGGGGTGTGACAGCTGCGCACTGGTCGTCGGACGGAGCGTAAAGTTCCTACCTCGTGAAGTGGTTTCGAGGCTAAGGTGTGACAGATCTGTGAGGCGCTGGCGGAGGGTGAGGGCTCGACGCCGGCGCGCTCAAAGTTCCTGTGTAGCCGTGCAAGCCTCAGAGGCACCCTTGGTGTTAGGAGTCCAGTTAAAGGCGGGTTTTGTTTGATTTTTGTTTTGTTTTTAACGAAACGCTTAGGATGGACCCTAATTTGTTTCCTTCCAAAGGTAGAGAACTTGTGTCACCGGAGTGGTGTCTGAAAGGTGAACATCTCCACGGAGGCACAAGGCCGACGCTGGCACACTCACGCACGCGCAGGACACGGGGGACTGGAACCGAGGAAGTGAGAGCCTGGCGCCACGACGTTTAAGCGCATGTGCGGGGCGTGGGGGTGGGGGTGTGTGGGAGTTTTCCGCATGCGCAGCAGGGTCGCGGGGGGAGGCGGGGGAACGGCGGCCAGCTGTGGAGACTGCCCGCGTTCCCGGCATGCCCCGGGGCGGCGGGGTTGGCTCTAACGAATTTGAATGAGGAGCCGCAGCGCTTTCGGCGCCATTTTCGAGTGATGCCTGATCTCATCAATCTAGCGGGACGGAAGGGATAACCTGTGCGAGCGGAGCGCCACGCCGGGATCGCGCCGAAAAATCCCCCAAAAATCGCCAAAAAATAACTTAAGCCAGGAGGCAGCCGGCGGCGCTTCGGCAAGTTTGACGCAGACGGTAAGAGGCCGGAGTGCAGCGGAGCGAGTCTGGGAGGTGGCCGCGGGGGGGACCGCGGACCGTGGGGACGCAAGCACCGGACTCGGCGGCCGCCGCCCCTTCCATCGCAGACTCCCCAGGAGACCTGGAACTCGGGTGTCCGTCCACCCGCGACGGGGCGGCGTCCGGCTGACCGTGGCGGGAGCGAGCGCGGAGCGGCGTGGGGGGGAGGGGAGGCGCGGTTTGAGCGGGACGCGGCCG